GGCAGGACATACGCTGACTTCCACAATTTTGGAATTGTGTTTGTGCTGAGGGAGAGGTTAAAAAGAGAAGTGGAGCAATAAAATCTGCAGCTATCTTTAAAAAGAAAGGTTCTACGTTGTCCGGGCCGGCCGGTTTCTTAGGATCTAACTTGGTTAAAGCTTCACGAACAACATCAACAGTAAAAGGAGTAAAACTAAAAGGGTTTTCCAAAACACGTTTTTCAGAGTCACAGACTGTGGTGTTCACAGAAGCAGAGTTTGTCACAGAATCAAACAGAGAGCCACAGGACACAAAATGCTCATTAAAACAATTTAACATAGTGGCCCTGTCCGATATAGAGCCAGATGCTGTGGTAATGCAAGGAGGTAGCTCATTACGGATATCACCGGTGGATATCGATTTTATGGCTTTCCAAAATGTTCCAGGATTATTCAGGTTATTTGTGGTAACTGACAGATAATACTTAGACTTAGCACTTTTTATTTGTGAAGTGAAGCTATTTCTTAGCTGCCTAAAGCGTAGCCATTCTACCTCTGAGCCTGATTTCCTAGCCTTTGCCCAGGCCTTGTTTCTCTCATGTAGGAGACTAGATAAGTCAGCAGAAAAACAAGGGTTGTCTCGTCCCTTTACTCTAAATGTACGTAGGGGTGCATGTCTATCTATAATTTCCATAAAACCAAGATAAAAATAAGACCATGCAGTTTCTACATCAGCACACAGATCGATTTTACCCCAATCAAAATCAAACAGATCATGAACAAAACCCTGCTCCACAAAATGTTTTTTGTCTCTCTTACTGATAATGCGAGGTTTAACCTTTTGGACTTTTGTGTCCCTAATTGTGGCTACAACACAGTGATCACTCAGATCATTTGCAAATACTCCCACAGATAAGTATTTATGGGGAACCAGTGTGAGAAAAAGTTTTTAGAGAGTACTTGTCCATGGACAAGTGAGTTTGGCAATTTACTTGTCCGAATACATTTTTCACTTGTCCAGAATGGACAAAAATTGGGGCCACTGGAATCTTCTTCTTCGCCAACGTATTTTACTTTTCCCCACGATTTTTACGTCACCGCTAACGTAAGTGAGCGGTAAGATTTTACTGCATCACACATACCTAGGGTTGGGTATAGTTTGGATTTTAACGATTCCGGTTCTGCTTTTCGATTCCGGTTATTTTCGGTTCTCGATTCCGGTTCTTTGAGAGGGTAAAAATAAGTCCCATGACAAACTGGGAGAAAAACATATTTATGAAAACATTAAGTCAAATCTGTATTCCTATTTAGAAATCACTTCATACTGTTTAATTTCTTACGGTTATTGAATACAATTATATAAAAATAATCTCTGCATTGTTTAGTTAGTTCTATGTGGTGCAGTTTGAGAATGTACAATTGGCCCAGTCTCCTCTGATGTTACACTGCAACCTGCCTGTGAGACAGAGTCCAACCACACATGTCCAACACATAGGCCTAATAATAATAATACATTATATTTATAGCCTATAGGCCTAGCGCTTTTCTACAACTCAAAGACGCTTGCATGCTTACACATGTCCTGCAATACACATGCTGCAGCTGCCCAGCTGCTCACTGTTTGTAAAAGTAAATAAATACTATTTTCATTTCAATAATGTATTTTCTATACCCTGCTTCATAAACAATACTGACATCCCTGTGCTCCTCCGAGTCTGGGGGTCGGGGGATGTGAGGACAGCGCGAGGACACAGACAGGGAGGCTGCTTTACTTCATAAAGGAAATGGCGGTCAATATTAACAACGTAGGAGCTAAAACGCTTAAAAATCTAACTTAGGTAACAGACTGCGCACATTTAAGTGAATGAATCCCAACCCAGATCTAGAAATAAAATCAGCAGGAGTAGCTATCTGACTACTACTGCTACTGGGCGGTCCAGGGTTTAGTTGTACATTCCCTGATAGTAACAATAGCAAAAAAAAACAAGCACCTTTTCCTCTTAACCGACACACATACATTGTCATCTGCTTTAAAGTCACCAGCAAACGCCGCGAAAGTGAGATTAGAGCTCAAGAAGCAGTCCTGAAGAACCATCATAGCAGGCAAGTGAGAAAGACAAACATTTGTCGAACTGAATGTCTGTGACAAGGCAACCAGTAATTGTTTGTGTAACACATCCGAACCTTTACAGGGGATATCCACTGAGGGCGGTAGAACAGACCTGAACCCAGTCGACTTCTCAGGATGACGAGAGAACTTCTCATTGTCTAAAATAGCTAACAGGCATAGCAGAATCACGATAGGGGCCATTTTCCCAGACCAGCACAGCATCCGGATAGGCGCGCAAGCAGGCCCGAAACGTAGAGGCGCTCCGGTCTGTCCACGATATCCCCGGTGCAAAACCTCCTCAGCACAGCAGGATAGGCGAAGCAGGCCCAGCTCGAGGTGTAGAGGCGCTCCGGTCTCTCCGCGATGTCCCCGGTGAAGATCCTCCTCAGCACAGCAGTACAGGATAGGCGAAAGCAGGTCCAGCCCGAAACGTAGAGGCGCTCCGGTCTCTCCGCGATATCCCCGTGGTAAAACCTCCTCGGCACCGTAGAGCACGACAGGTGGAGCAGGTGGATACAGGCCTCCGCTACAGCAGGTGTAAAGCAGGCCGCAGCCCGAGCGCGAAGCCGCTCCGGTCTCTCCGTTACGTCAAAATCTCACCAGGACAGCAGCACACGACAAGTGGAGGGCACACGACAAGTGTGCCCTCCACTTTGATGGCAATACCCTGAATTATCAAATATTTGTGAGGGCATTTCAACATGGCATTGAGGAGAAAACCACCAGTAACCAGGATCGATTATATTACCTGGAACAATATACTTCGGGATCCTGCAGGGAACTGGTGAGAAGCTGCCTTCATATGGATGCTAATAGTGGCTTTGCTGAAGCTAAGAGACTGCTAAAAGTGCATTTTGGAGATGAGCTCAAGATAGCAAACGCATATATGGGGAAAGCTCTCAACTGGAACACTATAAAGGCAGAGGATGGAAAGTCACTGCACTGTTATGCACTTTTTCTGAGAGGCTGCTGTAATGCAATGAGGGATCTGCAGGACATGGAGGAGCTGGACCTGCCATCCAACCTACGGCTCATTCTTTCAAAGCTACCTTACAAACTAAGGGAGAAGTGGAGAACAGCAGCTTGTGATATTCTGGATCGGAGCCATCAAAGAGCAAAATTGCAAGACCCTCTCTTTGGTGACATTCACGATCATCAACTTAACAGTGCAAAGACTTTCATTACAACTCCTGCTGATTTAAGCCGAAATAAGTGCAAGGGAAGCAGTTTTGCTACCACAGTGGCTATAGTGTCAGACAGCCATGCAGAGAAACCCAAAGAAGACAATTATCTTGTTATAAGCTACATTTCCTCCACTAACAATGACACCTCATGTACCTTTTGTACCAGCATGCATCCTTTAGCTCAGGGGTTCCCAACCTTTATTGTGCCAAGGACCGGCAGATACATTAAAAAAAAATCGCGGACCGGTTGTCAATTTTAACTGATTTTAATATTTACTCACCACCAGCAGGTAGCAACAGAGGCTAATTGTATGTAACAGCCTGAACAAATACTAGAACAATATGCATCCAAAACATATTAACAAAGTTTAAAAAAGAACCGGTGTCATTTTTTGGTTTTTCGGAAAACCAAAAAACCGACGTTATTCAGTTTTTAAACCAAAACGGGAAAACAGATAAATTAACGTTTTGGTTTTGTTTGTATGATTTACGGATAATCCAGTGAATGCTGGGAAAACGAGGAGAAGCCGCATTATGAACACTGGCATTTGTTTTCAGAAGATATTATGATAGTGTCGTTCGTTCCGGTGCACTCCGACAGCATTAGCACTACATCGAGATTAAGATTAAACTAATTTATTTTGGGAACAGCCGCATATATGGAGTTAGCCATATGTGTGTAAATTACTGTTCATAAACATTTGAAAACAAATGCCGGTGTCGGACAGACACAAACACACCGAACACACAGAGCTGAGCTGAGCAGAGCACATACACACACACATCATGCGCCTTGGTGACTGACTGGACATCTCCTTCATAAAACTAATAAAAGGGGGAGTAATCGGGCAGTTCGATGTGTGTAGATGTGTGTGTATAGGTGTGTGTGGTTAACACGTAGCAGCCTGCAGTCACTCTTAAGCTGTTCTGATGAAGTTAAACACAGTCATACTGGTGCTGCACTTCTCAGAAGCGGAGTATACGTCCCGCTGCCTCCGGATGCTGCAGCCGTTTTAAGAAGTGAAGGAGGGTTTCCTTCTATAAAGCAGCTGCGGGCAGCAGATCGTGAGAGTCCCGGACATTAATTCATAGATCAAGGCAGACTGGTTTACTCTTCTGTTTTGCCAATCCGGTGCTTAAACAAATAGCTCTACACCCCTGGCCGACATGTCCTTAAAATGAAGTCCGAGTTTGAAATATATCTCAAATAATGTATGCACCACCATTTCCCCACATAAACATAACAGTCTGCAATCAAACGGTTGTCTCCTGTGCGCTCCTCTTCCTACTTGGCGCACCGGTAACAAGCTCGTGCGCACGAGAGGAGACCTTATAAGGCTGAGCCGCCGAATCCCTCATCATAAAAGCCATTTTCAACGGTTTTCTGGTGAAAGATTAACTAGCTACTGGATGAAATAATATGACTGGTGGCATAGGTGCGAAAATTAAACACTTTTTGAAAAAATATTATGATAAAATATTTTATATATTTATAATTCTGCAAATATTACGATAAACTCACAGCTATTTCGCGGCCCGGCAGTAACACCTCTGCGGCCCGGTACCGGTCCGCGGACCGGGGGTTGGGAACCCCTGCTTTAGCTGAATGCCATACAATACATTCAATATCTCATGAAGCTAAAATTGAGTTTCTGAAAGAGAAAGGACTATGCTTTGGCTGCCTGAAGGTGGGGCACTTGAGCAGGAACCGTAACAGGAGAATGACCTGTCAAATCTGTCATGCTAGACACCCAACTATTCTGCACATTAAAAGATCTTCTAAGCCTGAAACTGAGAACTTTAAACATGATAAGACAGAGCAGAAGAGTGGAGGAGCAAGGCCTGAAGAGACATCCATCAGCAGTGCTCTTGTTTCAGTAGGAGAAGGTGAAGGAATTGGGGCTGGTAAAGACAGCATACTTGCCATAGTGCCAGTGAAGGTGAAACTCTGCCATGGAAATAAAAGTATACTGACCTATGCATTCCTGGACCCTGGTAGTACCGACACATTTTGCACAGAGGGGCTCATGAGGCAGCTTGGTGCTAGAGGACGGAGAACTGAAGTCCTTCTTCAAACGATGGGAACAGAGAAAACAGTCAGGAGTTTTGAGGTAACGGGTCTAGAAGTGGGCAATGTGGAAGATGGCACATATATAAAGTTGCCCAAGGTTTACACTCAGAACAAAATCCGTTACCAAAAGAAACATTCTTACCCAGGCGGACCTCAAGAAATGGCCTTATCTGCAGGAAATCCAAATAAAAGAATTAGATGCTGACGTGGGACTTCTTATTGGAGTAAATACTCCAAAGGCTATGGAACCATGGAAAGTTATAAATACCCAAGGAAACGGCCCATATGCAGTGAAAACACTGTCAGGATGGGTCGTTAATGGTCCACCTAATGCTTCCACAGATCCGGATGAAACCCCTGTGGCAGTAGTGAACAGGACCTCAATTGTTCACCTTGAGAAGCTTAATGAAAGACAATATATGAATGACTTTCCAGAAAACGAGTATGAAAAGGCCATTATTTGCCACGAGCAGAGACAGCATTTCAAAGAGGATTTTGCCTTGCTGGAAAAAGCCAAACAGTGCAATAGAGGAAGCTCCCTATACAAGCTGGACTCTATCATTGATGCTGGGATTCTGAGAGTTGGAGGAAGAACTACAAAGATGGCTATGCCAACTGACTTCAAACATCCAATGATTCTACTTAAACATTCTCGTATTTCCAAGTTGATACTAAGCCACATACATCATCAAGTTGGTCACTCAGGTCACATGCTCTCCAAACTCCTTCAACGTTACTGGCTATCAGCTGCAAACTCTTCAGCCAGGAGGCAGGTGCAATACCTTGCTGACCTGTTTTGGAAGCGCTGGACCAGGGAATACCTTCCTTTGATGCAAGAACGGCTCAACTGGAATACTATCAAAAGAAACTTCACCCCCGGAGACCTGGTCGTCATCGTTGATGAGAACGCACCGAGGAACACTTGGCTCCTGGGACGTGTAGTTAAGACCCTTCCTGATTTCTTTATGAATTATTCTCGCGCAATTTGAATTAATCCAAAGTATTTGTTTTTATTTGCTTTTACACATTTAAAAAGAAAAGGTGAATAAAGAAGCACATTAAAACTAAAGTATCAATGTATGTCACATTTAATCAACTAGTGCAGGGGTACTCAAATACAAATCTTAAAGGTCCAAAAAAAAATGTTTCAATAAGACAAAGGTCCGTTTATTACGGTCATTCAAACTTTTAAACAATTGCAACAAGATTCTTAACACGAGGTTGCAAAAACAAAAATAATCTGTATGCAGCAGTTTTCATTGTTATTGTGTCTGTGCTTGATCCCTCAGAGTCGCAGTGTGAGCTGCACAGTTATGAATAAAGGCAGCTGCACCCTCTTTCATTCAGCATTCCCATTATTGCTTTATAAATGTCTTGCCCCCTTGTGTGTCCACTGAGGTTCGTCAGGCCCAACACATCTTCAACAAACTCCCCCTTTGCCTCATCATAAAAACTCACAAACACCAGCAACTGAGCATTGTCAGTGGACTCATCCACAGCTAAGGAAATGCACTGTGCATTTTGTATTCCATCACAAAGCTGATTAATCAAATCACCAGCCAGTATTTATGTTCTTCTGGTTGCTGTGGAATCTGAGAGGGGGATTTGCTTGATTTGACCTGTTATTTCCTCTTTTTGTTTGCCTTCAAACATGGTCTCCATCACTTCAGTCATGCATTCTTTTATACTTCAGTTATTATCCAGTGGAAAGTCCTTACCTACTGGCCTAGTTAAATGAAAGTGGTTACTTTTTTTTGGCTGGGCAGTGTAGTTTTACACACCGTCTTATTTGACTTTCTCAGGACTTAAAACTGTTTTTGGGGGCAGACCCCACAAAGAAAACAATATATTTACACACGTAAGGTCATCATCTTAACAGTTTGTATGCTCATCCGTGAGCAGAGCATCAAGTTGACATGTCTATTACAGCTGAATGTGGCGATTACCATCTTGTTCAGCAAAACGCCTCACAAACTGATTAAGGCGCCGTTTACACGAGGAGAAAACTGCTTGTATCTGCATAGTTTCGCGTGCGTATAGCCCTATTATTTACACGAGGCCGATAGAAACTGACCCCACAAACAATAACGGGTCCCAAGGTGGATAGATTTGCAAACGAAACGCTCTGGGGGGTCAACAGAGTCCGTGTAATCACCTCGATACGAATATTTCCTGAAAAAATAGGATAGCCCCGCCTCTCCTGCTCACTGCTGTACTAGCAACTATCAAAAATAGCTGTGTTAATTAAACGCACAAGGGGTTCTTGAATGAAATAATATTATAAAAGGCAAACCAGAATTGTTAACGCCCAATATACTCCTTAAACAAAATAAACAGAGTCAGATTTCATGCATTGATCCATTATATTGACAAAGGTGCATCTCACCCGGTGTTTGTAGAGAATATCTCTCATTCTGAGCCGTCCTCTCGATGCAATATCCACAGAGACGTGCTTCTTGGTTTCTTTCAGTTAACTTCCCCGTTGCATTTATCCATATGCTGAGGAAATGACTATATCCCGCTGAATACCAGCAATCGCCACACACACTGACTTCCTCCTGTCAGAAGCTACTGCTAGTGCTACTGCTACTGACCATGCTACAGATATTAGTGCAAAAATATACAGCTCCTCTACCACAACCATCAGCAACAACAGATTCGGTTTCTTTCAGTTTCTGTTTCGGGGCTTAAACAGAAGGGTAGCCATGGCAACATTGCTGCGGGGCTGCTCCAGGCTGCTCTTCTTCGCGGCTTTTGGTGTATTTTGGCGGAAGTTACAGCGCCACTTACAGTCCCAGCATATGTACTACAGCGTTTCCAGCGGCCTCGTTTAAACAGACACGTTAAATGAAACAAATGCATGTGAACGGAAGACTTTTTTGAATATGCATACTGTGCATAAACGCAAACGGTCCCGTGTGAGCGGGGCCTAAGATCCAAAGTTTTAGTGCGTTTTGATTCAATGCTGAGTACAGCCAAACTTGACAGTCTCTTCTCTGTCATTGTAGACCGCAAATACCTCATTCCTTCAGTACTTGGGTCCGAATGCTTCTCGTTTTGCGCCGTACCGTTCAAATGAAATCGCCAATCATATTTCCTCCCCCTGCCGGGGCAGGGGTTACAAGACGTGCATCTTGTGCTGCATTCACTTGCATTTGGACATTAGAGACTTTCTCTCATAAATGCCCGATGAGCCACAACTTTTCTTTCAAAACAAAGCTGCCAACTGGGGTGGCAGCTGGGGTGGCAAGGCCTATTTTTAGGGTGGTAGTTGCCACCCCATGCCACCCCGGTAGGTGAAACTAGGCTACTAGCTACAGTACAGATGCAGCTAGATGAGCTGTTAACTCTCGCTCTGTCTTTTTTTTAAACACACACGCATTTTTCCCACCCGCTTTCCGTGAAGACCCGCCCTACTGTGCCTCTGATTCGCAGACTGTTGGTGGGGGGGGGAAACGCTGACGGGATGCTGAATGTGATTGGACCATAGCGTTGACAGACACACACAGACAGTGGAACAGTCTGACATGCAGAGCGCTGTTTGCAGTGGACATTCCGGAGAATTTTGACTCGTTGCGTTGTGGCGATGTCTCGCAGATAACACAGATAATACAGATAATACATATGAAAAGTATAATTTGCTCAGAGTCCAGAGACAGTTGTGGTTCGGTCCGGATCCGGACCGGAGTCCGGACTTTGAGGATGCCTGAACTAGTGCATACATGTATGGGTAATATTTAAATCAGTAAATTAGATAGCATATTATTCAATGTATGTATTTTTCTAAATATATTTATTTTGGTAGGTTTGCTCTTCCGTAATAATTATAATAATGGAGTATTTTCACAGTGTGGTGTTTGTACTTTTACTTCAGGATGTACTACCTGCAGCACGTGCTGATAAAGGGTCTAAAGCAGGGGTGTCAAACTCAATTTCATCACGGGCCACATCAGCATTATGGTTGCACTCAAAGGGCCGGTTGTAACTTTAAGACTATATCATTAATTAATATAACTTCATAATTAACTACGTCTGAAAGCAGAAGTCTAGAGCAAATAATTGCAAGTCTCTTCAGTAAGAATGTCACAATATGATTTTAAAAGAAAAGCCACATTCTGGATGTGGTATCTTACCTTGTGTTATTATTACATGTTATTGCATTTGTCCAGCAGGGGGCAAACTCACTCTTGGTATTAAAAAGAGCCTGTTGTACATGTTCCCACGAGGAAGTCCCGGAAGCATGTTACCAAAGTAAAACCAGTTAAATCTACTCCTATGTTGTGGACATACAATTATTGATCACAAGATACAACACTGGAAAAACATTGATTGTGACATTTTGAAAAAGAGAAGTGACATTTTGAAAAAAAAATCTATTTATGAGAAAAAGGCTAATTCTAAGAAAAAAGGCATATTTGGACAAAAAAAAGTCAAATTCTGAGAAAAAGTCAAATTTGAGATGCATTGTGGGACATGTCGTTTATGGGCAACGTGCTTCTGTAAAGTAGCATGTAACCGTATAATAAACATATTATATTCTTTGCAAGCTCTTGTGGGGCCACATAAAATGAAGTCGCGGGCCGGATTTGGCCCCCGGGCCTTGAGTTTGACACCCCTGGTCTAAAGTGTTATTAATGTGATAATAAAGTGCTACTGAAGAGTTTAAAGTGTTAATGAAGAGTAAAGGGAACATACCTGCTCTGTGTATCCGAAGCTGAGGCTGTAAAACAGCGTCCAGTAGTTTCTGGAGTCTCTTGTTCTCCTCTTTGGAAAGAGACAGCTCCTCCTCGAGCATTTGGACTTTACTCATGTTTCCTAGATCACCTTTCCCTGCAGACTCCGTTAAACACACCGTTTCTCTCTCCATCAAACTCTCAATCTGACTAGTGTTGCTAACGTGTTTCCAGCTAACATGCTAAGCTAGCTCCTATAGTCCGAGGTAAACGCTCCAGAAAAAAGAGCACAGAGTCCATTCGGAGGTTTATCCAGACACACAGATGATGGATCAGTAGTGCTGGAGCTCACACACACTTTCTCAGGAACACAGAGAGAGAGAACCGTAGCGACGAGACGCCACATGGATCCAGGTTCTTCTTCTTGTTCTTCTTCTTCTTCTTCTTCTTCTTCTTCTTCTTCTTCTTCTTCGGCGGATTGCAAACAACTTAAAAGGTGCATACCGCCACCTACTGTACAAGAGTATGAATCATCATATCATACCAACTCTTTAACCTATGATCTAATCAAAATAAATCAACAAAAAAAAACATTAAATAAATAAAACAAAAATAAAAATCTATGT